AAAAGTTTTTGAAAATTTATTGCACTATTAGAATATGGAGGGTGCATTTAACATTATTGACCCAACTTGGGACTATAGAAAAGAATGCATTTAGAGAAGGTGTGCATTTAGAGAGGGTGCATTTAGGGAGGATTCTCTGTATATGGAAATAAGTTCGCAAAAAAATATTAATTAATATATATTGGTTGGTATGTAAATATTGTAACAGTGTAACGGCGAGTAAGTCGCTAACTCTGGCAGAGATTCGCGTAACCGTTACTGGGTAAATAAATGAAAGGGTGATTTGAGGCATTTTTTTATTTGACCGAGTCTTTATTGATTTTCTCACTAATTCCCATCTCGCTTCCTTACATTTTACATTCTTTTTATACTTCTCTTTCTTTACATTTGGCTATGGCGGCTTGGGCATAGGATAATGGGCTATAGTATAATGACGAGGCTTTAAAGCTATCTTACATAATTTCTCTTATCAATTTCTTTCGTCACTCGTTATTATCTAATTATTACAGCCGACTTACCATTGTCACGGCGATTGGTCACGTGACTAACGTCGCGTCTTATTTCTCCCTGTTACAATATACATCATTAAATATATGAACAAACCGGTAAGCTTCCACAGAGGAGGGTACAACGCGATATAATAAATTTGCGATGTTACTCTTTGCTTAACTACAGTAATACAATTGTGGGGAAAATATGTGAATCATGTAAAGAAGGAATTAGAATACACTTTTCTTGTAGTTTCTCCTGTCAATGTTCTTTTATTTATAATTTTGTTTGTTTCTAAAATCCTTTGAAATGATTTATCAAATAAAAAGAACAAGTAAGTATAAATAATGTTAAGTTAGTAAAATGTTTTCGAACAAATTGTATACGCCTAACACTACGCTTAGCCAAACACAAATTACAGTTGCTCGAAACTCTTCCTTTGTTAACAACGTTAACCGTGACAATGTATACAATATAAATATGAGCGAAGTTACATAAACTCTTTTATTATTGATCCTAATTATAAATTCCAAGTAGCAAATTAAGTGGCTAAAGAAAAATGACTATTATTCCCTTGTCAGCATATAGGCAATCAATTTTTTGTTAAGAACTTTCAATAAAAGAGGCAGCTTGGCGCCATAATAAAGTGATATTTCTAAGGTTATCCTTGTCATAATATAATCTGTGATTTGCAGGTCTAAACGTGAATTCTAATATCTCATTAGGATTGATTATACTATACGTTTCCACGTGAGTAAATTGTGCGAAGGAAACTTTAATGTTATAAAAACTAGGATCTGTGCTTCTTTTAAATCCTAAATTTTGCAAATTTGCAATGAGTTCATTGGTCGGTATGACACCTCCAGAAGCAAATAAAGCAAACGAAAGCGGTTTATCATAAAAACCTATTACAGTAATAAAGTTGTTAGTATTGCTTATACTGTAATTAGGTGTGTGGATGTGCATGAATTTACATTACCTCCTACTGCTACAGTAGAAATCTGACCTATCTCGTACAGAAAATTCGTGGTTAGAGCGCAGGATGATCCACAGAACCCGTTTGTTAAAATAATCATATCACTTGGTTTCCATGGTAACTTTGTAATATTTTTCGAACTTTCCGTGGCATAACGAGTGAGTTTGTTCATGTAATTATTCGTAAATCTAACTTCATCGCCCTCACGATTATAATAATTTGTGCCAATAAATTCCTCCGATGTGTTAAAAAATTGCTTTGTGACGATATCTCTTTTAAGTCGAGCATTAAAAATCAAGTCATTTACTAAATTCTCGGTAGTACTTCTGTTGAATGCAAACTCTGCAATTTTGGATACTCTCATGTCATCCGGAAGTGTGTAAACATCTTGATAATTTAAGTTGAGTAAAAGAATATTAAGAAATGAAGAGATATCTACGATTCCTCCCGCGTTATCAGTGAAATCAAGGACAATCTGTAATAATAACAAAATCCTTTTTGTCAGTTTCCGGTATTGGTTCGAGAGATTTTTCAAATATATATTACCTTTTTAACATTAGCTTGAATCAATAAATTAAATCCATCAACAAAACTCTTGTAAATGTTTGGAATGTCTTTTTCGGTTGTTACTCCTGGAACACCAAATGAATAAACTTGCACAATACCGATTTCATCTAACTTATAAAAATCTGCGACAGATTCCACTTTTAGCAAAGATTCTGCGGCGACAGCCTGGGCGTCATTTTTTTTCTATGCTATCTGTACTGACAGAAGTTGGGAGTTTCTTATCGGATTAGCACAAAGATTTTCAAAGTAACTATTCGCATCATTAAATTGGTTAAATAGGGAACTATTTGTAATGGTAACATTCCAAGGGATGTCAAGATGTGATTTTGTCCTGAACATAAGAAGTCATAAGAAATGGTTTCATTTTCAGGTAACTTTGTACGAAAAGCAAATTCACCATGATAAATGGAAGAGCTTAAGACACTATTAAATCTAACACCGAGATCACGCGATACACTGCTTTTGGTTTTAGCATATTCAACTAATACATCGAATACGAGTTCTCCGTTAATGTGAGTGACTTCACAATCTACTAAGGACGAATCTTTCTCATATTTATTAACTTAGATTACCTGTAATTGAATACAATTAATAAAATCAAACCATTAATCGTACTAAATCTTTAAATTCTTACCTGAGTTCCGTCAGGTTTTACGGCCGAGTATAAATAAATTTCTTGGTCAAATTGAAATATGGAATAACAATTTGGATAAAAGAAACGTGAGCATCTTTCATCTCAGATAAAAGATCTACAATAGCAGTCTAGAAGAATGATACGTAACTGTAAATCAATACAGTACGTAATTACAGTACAGTAATAAGTATACAATAAAACAACAACCATAAATTCAAAATCTGATTGATGATCTTTTTCAAGCAAGAGATCAAATTCCTTTAGCAAATCGACGGGTTTATAGTCAAAACCAGGCTGGGGTGGCTCCTTAGCTTGATTCAAATACACATAGAAATTTCCATAGAGTTTTTTAAGTATATCTATGAGCTATTATAGGTAAAGTTTTATATTAGTTAAGTAAATAATATATCTTGCACGTGTAACATATATACTTTAATTACTTCAGATGATCTAGTAGAATTATAAGGAAAAGATTCATAACAGTTTTTTACATCAGCATAATTAATATAATGTGTTGCCAAGTAGGACTGCTTGATATTAGCACACGCATCATTATCCCTTTCACATTTTCCACTCGGAAATGAATGCGTTACGGAAATAGTGGTAATTAAGAAGATTATTACTAGAACAGATAACCTGTTTAGATTCATGATTATAAATGAATAATTTATTTATTCCGTGAACGAGGAATAAGGGTTCAATATTACAATTCACATTTATTTTATAAGATTTTTTCTTCTATACACTCGAATACAAAATTCTCGCAAAAAGTCGTGTCAGTATACAATGGCTTTGCCTTACACATACCACCGCGGATGAAATTAGAATTCGTATACCATTTGAAAAACGCCCTATTAATAACAATACCAAAAATGTTAAAATAAAACGTCGCACAATTTTCGCGATACAAAACATTATGTATTGCTTATATACATTAGACAGAATTTAGTATTAACAGATATTCCGAGCTATAATTAATTCACAGTTTAATATGAAAGAATGTGAAAGTGCTAACGCTATATGATCAATATACTGAAAAAAATATCTAATGATTTCGTCGAGATCCTTAAGGTTCGAAATAAAAAAGATCATCGGTTTCATTAATTTACTCGCTTATACAGTATTCTTATATGTTGAACTATAAATTTAGCAATATAATTTTATGCATCTCAATTTAATGAATATAAATTTTTATTCAATGTCCAAAATAAGAAGTTAAAGGACTTTTTAATCGCTTTATGTTTCTAAAATTAGTCTATTTTTTCTATAATAAAGGAATTTATTTGTTTCGCGGTTAATTTCAACAAAAGACAAGGTCGGAATCAACTCCGATCATGTGATATGGCGATCAGGAATTTCTGTTATTCTGATGATTTCAAGAATAAATCAGAGTACAGTGAGAATTCTAAAAATAGTAAGAATAGTCTGGATATTTTTTTACAATTAAGCATGTAGTATAAAGAGAGAACCAGTGACACAAGAATGGTACGGCAAAAACAAACACGAATTAAGCTTCTACAAGAAATATAAATATTTTAGAGTAGTAATTTTAGATGAAGGCCAATGTGTATTAAAGTTTATGCTAAAGGAATATAGAAAAGAAGATACTGGGACTGTTTTCTTATTACTATAAAAGGAAATTTAATTTATAATACAATTTTGAATTAAATATAATTTTTAATTATTTACTATTGCTATAGATAAAGTCAATACAAGTATACAATACAATATAATATTACATTATTCTGTTGTTATAGATTGTAGAAAAATTAAAGTGAAAAAATTGGTGGGAAATTTATAAAGCAGTATAGAATAGTAATCAGATAAAAACATATAAACAATAAGTACGTATATATAATTCATTAGTATTGTTACTAAAATTTTTGAAATTTTTATTAATTTCAAATAAATACTATTACATACTATTAACATTAATCCACATTTATTATTTTTAGCTATAATTTCTATATAATATTTTCTTCTTTTCTGCAAGAATTCTTAAACTGTCTACATAGTTTTTAATGAAACAGCAAATTTAGAGCACCGTAGCTCAAAAACCAAGTTGTAAAGCTTCTTTAAGATTCTATGCAACTATTTACAAAAAGATTAGAGAAACAACTTTTGTTATTAAAAAAATGATATTTTAAATAATTTTATCTTTTTTCTTATGAATGAGAATTTTTTTGATAATTATTCTAAATATAACAAATAATTCTCTAGTTAATTCTTTTGTATAAATAGATAAACTATATATAAATAATTAGATTAAAAGTGATCTACAATTGGCCAAACATTATAAAATGACTGCAATTTCTCCTAGCTATGAAAAAAAGAACAATTATTATGATTATAAAATTTAATTCTTGTAATTTTCTTTTAATTCTTTTAATAAAATTATAATTATTTTATATTTTTCTTTTATATTTTTTGTTTTTTTCTATTGAAATTCAATTTTTATATCATCTGTTTCATTAACAATAATACAGAATTTGTGAACTATATATTTAAATAGATATTTAGCAATTTTTTTAAAATAATTGAGTTTTATTATATAAATAAAAATAATTCTTATATATATACAGTATATATTTTTAATTTTAAAAAATTATTTATTGATAACTTTTCATTGATAAAAACTGGTCAACAGAAATGATATACTTGATACTCACTAGTCCAAATTGGGTTATTCGGCTGCCAAATTACAGCCAATTAAATTCAAATTTATTAATAAAAGTTTATACCAAAGTTTTATTGTTTGGTCTAATTTATGTCACTCGGCACTTAAAAAAAACACAATAATTTGACAAAAAAAAATAAAACATTTGGCAAAAAATAAGTATTCGGCAATAAAATCATTCAGCAATAAAATTATTTGGCAAAAAAATCATTTGGCAAAAAAATATTTCTAGTTAAAAAATATTCGGCAATAAGGTTACAATATTCTTTA